AAAAAAACCAAAAAATGCGCTAGGGAAGACTTGAAGGGGATGGAATTTCCAATGGTACACCTGGGGTTGGCTCTAATACTTGAGCATCTGGTAGTTCCTTTGACAAAAGCTCCTGCATTTTGAAAATGGAAATACAATAATAATAGTCACCCACTAAAATACAAGAATTTAGAAAATTCCCAGTGTATGATGCCATGGCAGTAGTCAATCACTAAAGTTCCCAAAAAGACTAAGAGTAATTCCCTAATCTAAATTGTGGATTAGGAGGAAAACTTTTAGGCAAATGGTAAATTCAAAGCACACATTTGACATGTATATCTTATCCAGTTGCCCCAAATCTTGAGAAATGATTGTATGTATTGATAGTTTTTTATGTTTCTTGATTATATTACAGAAGTCAATCAAAGGTGTCAGATTCTAGATTTTTATAATTAGCTTATAAAGACTTCAAAAAGAAAAAAGAAATTCAAGCTACATAGGATTTGAAGCACCTGACGAGGAATATGGTAATTTTGTTGGAAACTCATTCTGTAATTAATTGAATTTGAGTATCAACAAGTAAAGGAAACAAACCTTGAATGATTCAACTGTTCCTTCTGCCTCAATTATGGTAGCAAGAATCCCTTTGCTATCAAGGTCTCCATTTTTCATTGGCACAATGAAACTATTAAAGAAGAAAGGTAATTGAAACAGAGACAAACAAAATATAAATCCTCCTAAAGTAACTAGGTTCCATGGCTGAGATCAGATTCTCTACCTTGCATGGAGTAGCTTTGCGAGTTGGACTGCATCTTCTTGTCCTGAAACCAATGTAAACTTAGGAAGAAGCTGCTTGATGACTGGTGTGATAACTATATCAGCACGTTCCTTCTCCAGGATATTCTTATTGTATACACAATGAGGTTCATAATAGAGGGTCAACTGGCCCTGTGGAGAACTGACAAGATACCTGAAACCTACTATGCCAATAAGTTGTGGGGAGAGTAACTTAACATAGGAAGCTAAAAAAAAACTGGAATGGTGCCCCAAAGAGAAATATATCAGGTACCAATAGTTTGGCATAGAGGAGGCTATGCATCATACTTAGTCACATTTGCATATTGAGCATGAAAAGCTTTACCCATTCTCAGGTCGTTGCCAGGGAGGACCTAGAACTGGTCCTGGAGTTGCTTGAATTCTGACTTTGGAACCATTTCCTGCTTCAACTTCAGAATTCTGACCAGGCTCTAGATACGTCACCTGAAAGGTTTTTAAGTGTTAAGGATCATTTAATATTACACACTAAACTGATATTTCAAATGATAGCAGATCAGGTTGGAAATTACTTGGCAGTTCTAGAATGACAATTCCTATAAAGGAATAGCATTGGTATACAATTAGTTTGATTCTATATCAATATGACCAGTGTTGTCAAAATCTAGATTTAAATCATAAAATCTTACGATTTTACGATTTCAGTAAGGTATTTCGTGTAAAATCTATACTAAAATCTAAAATCAGGTAAAATCTCGATTTACTGTGAAATCAGGTAAAATCTCGATTTTACCTTCTGTTTGGCAGTTGGACTTTTTGCATATTTCCATTTGGGTTTTTCATATTGGATTAGTGAGTTTTGACTAGATAATCCATAAATTAAGCTCATTTTTCATTTTAAAAGCCCACGACCCACACAACCTAACCACAAATCAACATTTTAATCGAGAATTTGGGACAAATTTGATTTAACCATCTAAAATTCTAAATTTAAGTCATCTACTTTAGTCATCTTCTTCGTTTAATTTATTTGTGTTGTTGGATATTTAGATTTTAATTAGCTAATTTCAAGTTTCTAACTCTAAATTTGATTTATTGTTATTTAATTTTAATTTTATATAATTTATTATATATTATATTAAATTTTGTAAAATCTCGATTTTATCGATTTGATTTTACGATTCCGATTTCACCTAACCAAAACGATTTTAAGTAAAATCTCGATTTTGACAACCTTGAATATGACATAAGCTATGAATGAAAGCCAGGAAAACTTAAAGAGGGAAAGCAGGACATATGCTAATTGACACTGACACTCATCTTATATTTCTAAGCTCAGCCATTGCAAATGGGAGGCAACATATTTCCATTTTGACATTGCATTTGAGCTTCTCGTTTGATTTAATAGTTGGTCTAATTTTGGTCTAGAAAATAATGAACCACATTCGTTTTGGAGATGTGAAGGGACATGTTCACAATCCTATATTTGTTAAATCAAGAAGCACATCGATGCTTCTTTTTGACCAGAAAAAGTATTATATCTTTTCATGAACTTCTACTCTCTTGTTCTAACAAATTGTTAAGAGCACTTTTGCCCCTTCTTTGACCCAAAAAATATGACCACTCTCTTCCCCAAAAGAACTAAATGCCCAATCTGAGAAAAAAGTTATGTATATTTTTTCATTTGCAAATATCAACTAAATGGATTCCACATCCCAATGAAAAGTCCACATATCATAGTTGCAGCAATATCAATTATCAAGTAATATTGTTACTTACATTTCTAAAAAGAGGATCCAGCAAAGCCTTGGCGTTTAGAGTTGCAATGACTCTAAGATTTGGCGACATTTCTGACAGTGGCTTTAAGGTTTTCAAATGGCAGTGATCATCAAGACTTTGTGTAATCAATAAGCAATCAACTTGAGGAAGATCACTAAGCTGCAATTTAGTTGCATGTCAATTAAACCTAGCTCATACTCCCCAAAGTCAACTAATACAATACATAGAAATTGCAATCTGAACTACGAAGATAACAGTTACATGGACATCCAAAAGTACCTGGAAATTCTTCAAGAATTTCTTGGCAGCATCATAGAGCCACGGAATCCCAAAATCCAAGTTACCCACCAGTATTGGATCAACCAAGATTTTCACACCACTCACATCCCACAACCAACTATTTCCCTAAACCAACAGTTAACAACTATCTCAACAAAAAACCAAATTTTATTGAATCCATAAAACACCCAGATAAGAAAACCTCGACCCACCTCTAAGTAAGTAAGTTTGAATGCATTAGTGCCAGAAAACCTCGACCCAACAGCAGTCTCTTCAGAAACTACAGCAGAAACCACACCATTCCACCTATAACACAAACCCCAAATTAAATTTACTCAAATAAAAGCAAACAAATTTGATAAAGGTATACAAATATACCTGCGTGAGGAGAGCTTTAACGTATCAGGATGGAGGCCGGTTGGGAACAGAGGAAATGAGATGAGACGCGAAGATAACTGTGAGGATAAGGGTCCACTTCTAGCTCCGATACGGTATGTTCTGCAAGGGAAAGGAAAAGACTTGCAATGAGCCGCCATAGAAGCTCACCGTTTACTCTCTCCCTTCGAAACTTCCCGCGAATTGGGGATATGGGAATGCAGAGTGTTTTCAGCCAACAAAAATTGCCCCCACTGGTTTCCACTCTGCCACTTGGCACACGCTGACCCGCTGTCTCGATTTTTGCTCCTTTTTTTGTTAAAATTCTTGCCATGTTAAGTAATGTAGTGTAATTTGATATTCAGTTTGCAAAACTTAAGTTATTAAATGTGGATGGCTTTTTTTTTTTTTTTTTTTTTTTGAACATGGGAGAAGTTGGAGGAGAGGGATTTTGAGAGTTGAATTTTTGATTAATTACATCCAAAGTCTTAAAGATTGAGGTGAATCATTAAATTCAAAGATCTTGTTCAAACGCTGATGGTTTTTGATAATTAAAAGTTATTTTTTATTTAGTAATTTATATTTTACAAGATGATATAACCCCAATTAAAAAACAAGAGATTAGTAACAATTTATTAAAAATATTTCTTTAAATATATGACTGCACAATAATTCAGTTCGAAATATTGAAATCATCAAAACACCTCAATAAATCTTATTTTAAGGTGTTTTGATGATATCAGTATCCATGTAGTCCATACTGAATTAAAAAAACTGATAATTTACAGAAGCAAAATGCACTGTATATTTATACAAATAAAAGGCAGAAGAAAAAAAAAAAAAAGCCAATTCTTTAAACTTATGATTCAAATTCTCTGCAAAGCCTCACCCCTTCAACAAAATCTCAACTGGGAAGTTTTCAAAAGAAAAGGAAACAAATTTCAGATTGGTAATTTTAACAATAAGTCTCTCTTGGATAGGAGAAGAAGTTTAAGATGCTTGATGACCTTTCCTCCCGAGGAACCAGGTAATGTACTGTAGTTCTCTGTACATCCTAAATCTTGAAAGAAAGTTCTCCCTCCCATCTTTTGGGTTGATAAGATATGATATTCACAATCTTGCTACCTTGGGGCAATGGTAGCTCATCTGCATAAGGAATCTTCTCATGCCAGACAAAGTCATTTTCGTGTTCCAATTTCTTGAGCAGATCATCAGTAGCATCAATTTCATTTCCAAAGACAGATTTCCATGATTCCTCTCCTGGTACTTTCTTTCTCACATGGATCAAGGCATCACGAAGGACTCCAATGGCTGCCCCAATTTGACTAGAAGTTCTTAGATCTTCTGCAAGGTATTTCTGACTTCTTAGCTCGTGTACAGCTTTGCAAGATGTTATAAATTCCTGCATGGTTTGCAAAGAGAATCCACAGCATTAGCTCCTCCACAGAGGCTTTGCCCTCGAACAATAAAGAATAATCACTAACAAAACAGCTATAGCAATGAAACAAACAGCATATTATGTTTCTAATGGGGAAAATCAGCTGATGTGCAGATGAAGAGCAAAATCTAGCTCGAGGTATTCTGAAAATTAAAAGTTGAAGAATTAAATATTTTGGATAGTTTGGATGAAGAAACTTTTACTCAGATATTTTGGTTCAAGGTTTTCTTGCAAACACCGTCAGTTGCAACTAAATGTAAAAGGAATTCAGGTGACAGAGCAGGTAGTAAAATCTAATTATCGTTAATGAAAGATGGATCTTTCTTGATGACTTTCAGCCAACAATGCAAGTTATAGAGCCTTGATAGAACCTGAATGCATGCATACCATGAAGCGTGGTGAAATATCTTTGCACTCTCCAGCAACTGAATATAGAACAGAAATGGCTTCACCAAGAAACTCTGCAACACCATAGTGCAGCTTTGCCAAAAGACCAACAGACGTTCCTTTTTCTTCAGCTTTCCTTATAGTTACAGCCTATAAGAAAAACAAGATTAATGACAGCAATTGTGTTGCTTCAGAATTTCAAAAATAAACAAATCAATATGCTATGATACTGAATGAAAATTTCTCCAATAATTGACAGCAAGATTTTGTAAAAATGTCCACAAGTTTAACAAGTGACGGTTAACATGCCAACCTGGGCCTCAGCTAAGCAAATCAGACTCATAACAGCGCACATAAACGGGGTGGCTTCCGGTGGCCTTTCTGCACACCCTGCATACTGTAAAGTGGGGAGAATCTCATTTGCAAGATAATGGAAAATCCCTGCTGCTTCTCTGAAGAACGTGGCAGATTGCACTAAATCTACAAAAATGCAATTTAAGTAACCACTAACCGGCACCATAATAAATGCAATGGCAGTTACAAAACCATGATCAGTGGGCAGGGGTACCCCTTGTACTCTGATAATAAATAAAAAATAAAATAAAATATTGCCGATAAAAAAAAAAAAAATCATGATCAGTTGCTCATAGCATACTCGTGCGTCGTGCCTACCTGCAGGTAGAATTTCCGCAGCCCTTTCCCGCAGCATTGCAGCATAAAGGTAAAGGGTCATAGTGCGCTCAAACTGCAAGTCACAAATTTGAAAGAACTTTGGACCCATTAGGTTAAAGAAAGATGATGTGCTAAGAGCAGTACTCCAACATATATTGAGTTTTGGAGTCCATTGAGCAGTTTGCTGGTTCCTCTGGACCACATGAACATGAAAAATCAAGTTTTCCAGTAAAGGGAGATACTGTTCCAGTTTCTGAAGGTCCTGAAACATTTCAGAATAAACAAAATATTAGAATTGATAGACATCAACTAGAATGTTTAGAATTTGATGGGAAAAGGCCAGAAATAAAATAAAATGTCAGTCAACCAAAATATCTATATCATAAAAACAGGATCTTTTTCATGTCAAAAGAAGAACAAGTTCATACTTCATACAGTACAATAATGCATGCTATAAGGATTAGAGAAGTAAGTTAACTTTGTCAAATACAGCCCAATAGAAACAACTACTATTTGTGGTGTTAAAGATGGTTCCAAAAAGGCAAAGTTCCAGGAATCAAACATGGAAAAGAGGAGAGGGAATGCCAGCATTGACAAATTACCCTTTGACACCAAGTAGTCAGTCCACCTGACATCTCTCTGGCAATTGCTTCAGTAATGGAGCTGCTTCCATTAATTGACTCCTCAATCATTCTGCGCCTGGAGCTTAACTCTTTGAGATGTTCAAGTGTTGCAGGATCGCGTGCAGCATACACATCCTCAAAAAGAAGCTGCAAACATTGCCAGCATATTACTCATGATCTGAATAAGCACTAAATCACCATAACTCAGACATGATTCATGAGCTAATACCAGGCACATTTCCTGTAATGGCACAAGCCTGAATCTACTAGCAAAACAAAGAAACACTGGAAGGCCAAATACAAAGTAAAAATTACAGAAATTTTATGCTACTTGTTATTGAAAATGTACAGCAAAGCAGGTTATTCCAGGAGTATAAACAAAGATGCATGTCATTATCCAAAGCAAGACTAAAATGGAAGCTTCCTAATCTCTACAGGTGTGTTTCTTCAATAAGAAACAACAATTCCTCCATCATCAGATAAAGTTACCATCTTTCTTTCTCCACCAAAAAGGGGATTCTCAAAATCCCACATGTAAGTGACCATCATAATCAAGACCCAGAAATTTAATAAGATTTCACCAACATCAATTCTCATAAAACCCACGAAGGAGGAAAGATGAAGGAATGATACCTTCTTGGTTTTGAGCTTTGACAGCTCTCCAAAATACAGCATCATCTTTCTACACCCTCGAACGGGAAAGCTGAAGAGCGATGGAGTAGCGATACAAAAAAGCAAAACGGAAAGCCAAAGACTCTCAATTGGCTTTCAAAAACTGTTGGGTATTTGCGCACTCGTCTTCTTCCACACAATTTCACAGAGAGGGAACAGAAAACACAAGTTCAATCCAAACAGAATCCAGAAGAAGACTGAATCGTCATTCTGCAAGTAACGCTGATAAAAGGTGAAATTGGGGGAGATGGGTGTTTGATTTTGCTAATGATTGGAGTTCTGAGAGTTTAAAGGTGATACGAAGATTTAGAAATTGGTCGCTATCACAGATTGTTACTCGTCGGCTTCGACTTGAGCTCCGAATGCTTCGCTGACAAGATTTCGGAAAGAAGCTGGAGATTAGACTGGGCCCCGTCGGCCTCCCATTGGAGTTGGATCGTGGATGACTTTCATTCATTCCGCTTTTATTATTATTATTATTTTTCTTTACTTTTTGGCCGAAATTCCCATATTTTATTGGACTTCTCTAATTTACACTTACAAATATTTTTTATAAATAAATAAATAACGCTTTTTGATATTAAAAACATTAAATTTTTTTAATTAATTTAATTTAATTTTTTTTAT